CAGCGGAAAATAGGATTCCTACGCGATTTTGTCCCTTTTTCGACCCAAATTTGCCCTACAATATATAAGGAACATGGAGAACACGGTTTTGAGGCTTTTGACACCATTGAAGGCCTAGAGAAAGCACAAAGCACACGAGGGATTCGAGGAAGTCAAGATTGGAGATTCGGGAACTAACGGCGACAATAGTTCTTCTTTCTTTTTTCTTTTTCTTCTTCATTGAACTCATGGATTTATTTATTTTGAGTATTGAGAATATGTTTAGTAGCTAAATCTCTTTGAGATTCTAGGATTTGCGAGTACTCAGATTATTTTATGAAGTGATTTTGTTTATTCATTTCGGCCTATCTTTCGTTTATCAATTTCTTGTGATTATATGAATTGTGTGAATATAGGGCCCGTATTTATGCATATTTGTGATTGGCTTGAGACCGAGAGGAGATAGTTGATTGCTAAAATTGGGAAATTCGTAACGTCAGAGACTAAACAGACCGAGAGGTTGATAGAATCTTGCGAGGGAACTAGAATCTTAGGAGCTTATGGGAGTTAGTTGTTCATCTTGAGACCGAAAGGAGATAGATAACAATTAATATCTGCGATTTAACTTGTTCGAGAGAAAGGTGTAAATTACTTTAGCGATTATCCCTACAATTCGTAGAATTAAATAAGGTTTGAATGAACAAGAAATCTTTGCTCGAATAATCCCGAGGAAAGCATAGCCTAGAATCTATTTTGTCATACTTGATTTATTTAGGATAAGCCTTCTTTAGTGTTAAGAATTTATTTTGCATTCATTCTTTAGTTTAGAACAAAATCACCATTCAAATTCGAGTTAGTCTAAATAATATTTAATCGTCAACATTTTGGTACTAAATTATTTTAACAACAATCTCTGTGGAATACGACCTTGCTCGCCGCTTTCTACAACTACACCGTACACTTGCGGGTAGTGAAAATATTTTGCGAACACCCGACACGAACCTGGCCCAGACCCAGCATAGACCCGGCCTGGTCAAGCCTGTTAACAACGGATCCGGCCCCAGCTTGAATTTTAACCGGGCCGGTCCAGTACCTTGTTTTTTGGTCGTCGGCCCGCTGGGCTGGATCGGGTCAGGTCCGGCACTTGAAAAACACATGTTTTTTTATTTTTATATTTTTTTTCTTCGGACGGGCTCAAACCCAGGTCTGGCCCGGCCTGTCGTGCGTGTTCAGGGTCCATGATTCCTAACCCGTCGGCCCGCCGGGCCCGGCACGTGGTTTGGCCATGTAGTAATTCTCATGACTCCATGATAATACCCTATAATGCCAAGCCGAGCTACGCACAAAGAAAAAGCCCTAAATTGGCTTCCAAGGTTCAAGGGACAGCTTCCACAGTAGACGTACAAGCAAAAAACATAGCCTTTCAATTCTAGATGCAGTATATATAAACTAAGGAAAACCTTATAAACTTGCATTCGCATAGTCCCACTCAGAGAATTTCTAAAGCAGTAAAAGAATGTCTTCTAATTACAACAGCAATTGCTTAAACAATTCAAACCATGCCAACTAGTGTTGTAAACGAACCGAACCGAACCGAGCTTGAGCTATTCGAGCTCGTGTTCGTTTACATTCGAACAATGTTCGTGTTCGTTCGTTTATTTTCGAGCAAAAAATCGTGTTCAAGTTCGTTCGTTTAATTGTTCGTCAAAGTTCGAGTTCGTTCGTGTTCGAATAATTTAATACATAAACTTTTTAAATATGTTTGATCAACTAGAAATTTGTTCGTTCGAACTCAAAAAATAAAAAAGTAAAATAACAGCATTTTTATATTTTAGATTTTTTTTTTGAAAATATTATGTAAATGTATAAAAAATAAATAAAATTATATTAAATTTTAGATTTTTTATTAAAAATATTATATAAATATATAAAAAATAAAATAAAATAAAATTATATTGAATTAACGTACGCAAACATAATCGAACGTTCACGAACGAGCTCGTGTTCGCTCGATTATTAAACGAGCTTAATTTTCTGTTCGAACTCGGCTCGATTAATAAACGAACGAGCTTTGGTCGAACGCGAACGAGCTCGAACGAGACGTTCAGTTCATTTACAACTAACTACATAATATGCCAAAATTTCATGCCGCACGAGTTATTTATCCAACTAAACAAATTATACGTACCAACTCTTTAATGTTGAGGTGTTTCCAAGGAAAAAGAACAGAACAAACATTAGGGCCTATTTTCAACAATGTTTAACGAATACAATATGGTTTTACTCTTCACAACCAAACATCCAAAGAAAATAATAATACTGTTAGCACCGGAAGTGTCGTAATATTGGCAAAATATGGAAGCTTGCCGGAAAAAAAGTGTATAGTATTATCTCATTCACTCTCATAACCCGAGCAAGGAAAATAAAAAGCTCTCAGCCAACAAAACAGGAGCCAATGCACTACAAAGATGATCAGATTCTTGGAAAAGTAACAAAATTCGTTAAATACACGATGCACCCAAACCAAAGAGAGAAGAAAGAAGAAGCTAGTTGTTGGTACCACATATATAGAGGTTTATGTAGAGAATAGTGGTCCCATCCATAATAACAAGCAGAGTCAAAAACGAAGATCATATACTTCGAAGGAAAAAAAAAAGTACAGGAAAGAGGAGAAAAAATAAATCACAGCTTCCTAGACCATTCGCCACTTTTACCTCCACTTTTATACTCGAGTTGTATGTTTGTGACCACAATATCCTTTGAAGCAGCTTTGCACATATCATACACAGTGAGACCGGCCACAGTCACAGCCATCAAAGCTTCCATCTCCACTCCAGTTTTCCCGGTCGAGACAGCTTCGCCTTTTATTTCGACACTAAAATCACTGGAACTCAATTTCAAATCCACATTAACGTGCGAAAGATTGATGTTATGACAAAGCGGGATTAAACTGCTCGTCTGCTTGGCCCCACAGACTCCAGCTATTTTTGCAACGCCAAGAACATCTCCCTTTTCCATTTGGTTGGCCAAAACCAAATCAAATACTTTTGGGCCCAAAATGACCTTGCAACTAGCGACAGCTACACGGTTGGTGATGTCTTTGGAGGAGACATCGACCATTTGGGCTTCGCCTTTGCTTCCGATGTGGGTTAACTGGGTAAACGGGTCTTCTTTTCGTTGGTCATTTACTAAAAGATGGGATTCTGCGGAAGTGACTTGGGTATTTGAGGAACTTTTGGGGCCGGATGCTGGGGGTTCGCCGAACACAGATTCCATTTCCTAATGGGCCAAAATTAGCATGAAACAAATTTGTATTACTTGAGCTAGATATCATACAATTGATAAATCATACCAACAGAAAATTGGCTTGATAAATTACGCTGACGGACAATTCAAGTTTCATATCACTGAGTGCTGTTAACTAAAAGGGTAAAATACTTTTTTCCATCTGAACTATCACGGTTTTGGCGCATCACCATATAAACTATTTTTTCTTACAAACCACGATATGAACTATACGAGTTTGTCAATATGCCCCCTAAACCGGATATAAAAGTGGTTTAGAGCGCACACTGACAAACACATGATAGTTCATATGGTGGTTTGTAAAAGTATTTAGGGGCACACATGGTGACCACACAGCTTTTTCAGTCAAAACCACTTTTATATCTGGTTTAGGAGGCACATTGACAAACCCGTATAGTTCATATGGTGGTTTGTAAAACAAAATAGTTTATATGGTGATGCGCCAAAACCGTGATAGTTCAGATGGGAAAAAGTAATTTACCCTAACTAAAACTATTTTAGCTATTAAGCAGCAGCATTCAACCCTTACTAGGATCATTACATAATAAAATTTGTTTCTTATAAATTTAGTGATGCAGTCTATATATGTATATTTAGGTAAGTGGTTCAATGAAAATTACCGCAAAAAAGGGGTTCATTAGAAAAATGTAACGGAATATAACCGATTCCTAATCATCAAGGAGAAATGTAATGTAACAATTTATATGACCTCAAACACAAAATGTCACCTGATTGAGTTCAGCAATAACTTTGGAAATATCATGGCTACCGTTACTGGCAAAGAATCTTCTACTTGTTGCTACAGGCTTAAGCCTCGATGCAACTCGATAGAGAAACATTACTGGTTAAGCTTGCTTTCGCCTCCGCAACTGCAGTTCAGATTTTTAAACCTTTTGTCAGTAGCCCGCCTAAATTTCTCTTACCAGCATTTCAACAAACACTTGCAAGGCACACACTGAAAGTACAAACAATATAAGTAGGTTTGCTATTTATTTATTTTTTTCTAAATATGCGGATGTAAAATGTTAGATTCATACGTGGAGCTTGCAGACGGCAACTATGTCGTTGATGGGAAAGACGCTGCTCGCTAGTCGCTACTTAGATGAAGGTAACTGTAGCTAATCAATTGTAAAAACGTTGTTTGAGCTTATAAATTTGCTAGTTTATTGTGGGGAAAAAAAAAATAAAATAAAATTGCTAACCATTGGTACACACTTCGAATTTGCTAGTTCTGTTGACAGATTATCTAGGCTTTGGGACAGCAACTAAAGGTTGCGCCTAGGGCGTTGTTGTTATTTGAGCTGAGTAACTCACATTGAAGCTCGTGTTAAGTCGACTTGTTTTATATATGAACAATTGGTTATGTTGAATTTGAGAGCTAATCTTTCAAGGAAATCCCATTTCTATCTCATTCGTCAAAATCACAAATACAAAGTCCATACACCTATGTATTTGTAGTATACGTACAGCAGACTACGTCATACTCATTCAGTGCCAAAACGGCGTCGTTTCCAATTAGTAGAAATAAGAAAAATGTGGGCTACAATAAGGTGAACGTAAAGACCCTATGCTACTTAAGCTAAAAGAAAACAAATAAAAAAAATGGAAATAGAGAGAACAACAATTACAACAACCCCCCTCAGGTTGGGCCAAGGTTGTTAGATCGCATGCCCAACTTAAACAACAAATTTATGAATTGTGCCCCAGTAAGAACCTTGGTGAAAACATGTGCAAGCTGCAACCGTAACGAGACAAACATGGGTAACACAGAACCTCATTCGATAAAATGACAATCAATCTCCAAATATTTGTTTCGTTTATGAAAAACTGGATTTGTTGTGAACTTTCTTTTCTTTCTTAAACTTTAATAACCTTAAGCAACACAATCAAATTAAAACAATAAAACTGCAGCAGAGCATCAGCCCCTAACTGAGGCTCGGCAAAGCCTCCGCAACACAAGGTAAATGCTACAACTAGGCTTCTTGATTCTTCCTAAACGTTAATAACTCTTAGCAAGCTTAAGTCTTCTTCTTTAACTGAATTTATAAACTCAATAATTCGGCCATAAAAGGTAAAAAGGCTCAGCCCAAAGATACCTCTCTTTCGGAAAACAAGGGCAAAGAGGGTCGGGACTTAGAGCAAAGGACTCGGCTAATGCTCCGCCTCGGAAAGTCTTGGCTTGCTGCAGCCTGGGCGCTCTCACACGCTCTCGAAAAAGACCCGGCTCTGCTGCTGCTCTAAGCTTCTGGTTGTACTCGTCTCGGCCACGACAAACTCACTCTCGGGTGGTGCTCCGGTCACCGAATATCTGGTGGCTCTCAGCCCGAGTACTCTTCAGCCGCCGGCTGTTTTCTCTCGGACGAGCGTCGCATGGAACTCGCCGGAGCCTGGTGCTTCAACCGCGACCAAAAGGGTCTGTTTGTCAGCCGCGGTGTGTGCTCGTTACTGGGCGCTCAGGAACTCCTCGGTCGCTGGGCAGGGCCGCTCTCGGTCAGGTTCTCTCGCCGGAGATTTGGTGTTCACGGTTCGCGGGTAGTTTGGCTTCAGCCGCGGACCGCTGAGGGAAAGGGAGCGTCGTGGGGTGCTGCTGCTAAAGATAAGGGAGATGGGCTGGTCCCATTTTGGGCTTTACAAGGGCCGGGCTTTACAAGGGCCGCTCTCGGTCAGGTTCTCTCGCCGGAGATTTGGTGTTCACGGTTCGCGGGTAGTTTGGCTTCAGCCGCGGACCGCCCTCTCCCGGACGTGTGTGCTTGCCAGCCGCGCCTGGCCGCTGGAAGTCCGGTGGCCTGATTTCTCCGAGGAGACTGCTTCAGCCACGCCTGGTAGTCGGAGGCGAATGGTTTTCGGTCGCGGATTGCCTGGCGCTCGTCTCCTTGGTCCCTGCTTGCCGAAAATCTGGTGGCTCTCCGGCGCTGTGAATGGCTCGCCCTCGTCGCTTGTGGCGCTCGACTCGCCGGCGTTCGCTGGCCTTCTCGCCGCCGGGCTGATGCAACTCGTAAATGCCTGGAATCTGGAGCCCTTGATCGCTTTGCAGAGCTTGCAAGCTGAGGAGACTTGGAATATTTTGGGAGAAGAGAATTAGGGCTGAGGGAAAGGGAGCGTCGTGGGGTGCTGCTGCTAAAGATGAGGGAGATGGGCTGGTCCCATTTTGGGCTTTACAAGGGCCGGGTGTTTTGCTTGGATGGACCGAGTGTTTTGCTTGGACCAAGATAAGAGCTCCTTGGAGTGGGTTTTGTTTGGACCGAAAATGGGTTACTTGGGCGCTATAGCTTATTAGGGAATTTTTTATGCATGCTACCCGATTTTAAAATAATTGCAATAATACCATTCATACCAATTTAATTGTGTTTATACCTAATAGACTAAAAGTAATAACATTTATGCCTAATATCAGTTACAAGTAGATGGAACAAACATTCCATGTTTGTAGCTCACGATTTTAGGAGAGAATATGGAAAGATATCACATTTGAATTTGAAGAAACAATCTTGATAAACACGGAAAAAAATATATACAAAATATATCAAATCAGATTTATATATATATA